TCTCGACACGACTACCTAAGGTCTGGATATCCCACCGAAGAGATTTGGTGAGACCCACTGCGGACTCAAGCGAGGTGTTTCCGCGTGCCGCAATCAGTTCGATCATGTCGATTGCTGGCGAAATGATCTTGATCTTGGAGTCGAGTCTAAGTTGCAGAGTAGCGAGTTCCTGCTTTTCTCGACCATCGACCGTCTTCATCAGTCGGCCGCATTGCTTGAGCGCATAGTGGCTGGTGATTGCTATGCCGCTTCGGATAGCATAGCTCATAGCCTGTTGGGTGACCTATCACGTGTTAGCATGATTCAAGAATACGAGAAGATGACTCCCTGTCTGCTATGACGTGTTGGGAGTCAAAGCATAGTCATACCTTTGCTAAGATTGCCTCCATCTTGCCCTATGGGTTGGGCTTCACCCTTGTATGTGTGGAAGGGGCGGTTGATGAAGTGGTTGGGAGAGAGGAACCATGAGGTCAGATTTCAGGTTGCCGGGGAACGCAACCGGGATTAAGTGCGGCAAGTGACGACAAAGTGAATGTTTGAGGCTGGTGAGTGCCTTCGTTGCTGGGCGCCCTGGCCAATGTTAGGCAGCGAGGCGTTGAGTCAGCCCCACACAGCCACCCAAAGCAACCCCGCCAAATCCTGCGTGGGCAGCAGCGACCCGGCACATTTTCACTTTTCGCCGACGACACTCGACGCCCGTCCGCTTATATACCTGATAGTCGCTCCCTGGCCGCGGGTCGACTTCACGCATTCTCCAATTTACGAGCGACTCGACCGCACAAAATTCGCACGCCGTCGCACTACACCACCCCGACGACACGACCCATCCCCGCGAGACCGACGTCACCATGGCCGACAGCTGGGAGCAAGAGGAGGAGCGCCTCGCGCAGCAGGCGCAGGGCATGAACCTCAACAACACGCCCACGTTCACACCAGGCGCCCAGACATTCACGCCCGGCGCCAGCACATTCGTCCCCGGCCAAGCCTACGGAGGCTACCAGGGCTACAACCAGTACGGCCAGCAGCAATATGGCGGGTACAACCAATACGGTGGCCAGCAATACGGTGGCTACCAACAGCAGCAAGGCTACCCGCAATACGGGCAGCAATACGGCGGCCAGCAAGGAGGATACCCCAACTACGGACAGCAATACCCCCAGCAACAAAACTTCCAGCCCCAGCAGGCGCAGCAAGGCCAGGCGCCCGTACGGATAGCGAAGCGAGGCGACACCGATATGGCTGGCTCAGAGGGTGCCGCACCCGCCGAGGCTAAGAAGGAGGCGCCCAAGGCAAAGGTTCTCTCGATTGGTGGCGACAGCGCGCCCAAGGCAAAGGTCCTCTCCATCGGAGGCGACACCACAACACCAAAGGTCGAGAAGGCAGGCGGCACCAAGGTCCTGAGCCTGGGCACCCCCGCCGCTCCATCGGCAGCGAAGGAGAAGGCAGACAAGGAGAAGGGCACCGCTGAGGCCGGCACCAAGGTCACCGCTGCAAAGGCCATTGAGAAGACTGGAGAGCCCACCCCGGCGTCTGGAGGCTCTGGCCGAACCTCGCCAACACCTTCCTCTGGCCGCAACAGCCCGACACCGAAGGAGAAGGCTGCCGAGAAGGCCAAGGCACAGGATGTCGAGAAGGAGATGGACGAAGTCGTTGATGAGGCCACCCTTGCCGAGATTTACGGAAAAGAGCACGTCAACATCATCTTTTTGGGTCACGTTGACGCAGGAAAGTCCACCCTCGGCGGAAGTATTCTCATTTCCACCGGCATGGTCGACGAGCGTACACTCGACAAGTACAAGAAGGAAGCCAAGGACGCTGGTCGTGAAACCTGGTACATCTCGTGGGCGCTTGACTTGAACAAGGAAGAGCGACAGCAGGGCAAGACTATCGAAGTCGGCCGAGGTTTCTTCGAGACGGAGAAGCGACGATACTCCATCCTGGACGCGCCAGGTCACAAGACATACGTACCGAACATGATCAGTGGTGCCTCGCAAGCCGATGTTGGTATTCTCGTCATCTCTGGACGTAAGGGAGAATACGAGACCGGTTTCGAGAAGGGTGGACAAACCCGAGAGCACGCCATGTTGGCCAAGACACAGGGTGTCAACAAGATCCTCATCGTCGTCAACAAGATGGACGACCCTACTGTTGAGTGGTCAGAGGACCGTTTCAAGGAGTGCACCAGCAAGGTGGTCATGTTCTTGAAGGGTCTCGGGTACAACCCCAAGACAGACATCAGCATGATGCCAGTCAGCGCGCAAACATTCACAGGTATCAAGACCCGTGTTCCCAAGGACCTCGCCCCCTGGTACGACGGCCCATCTCTGCTCGAATACCTAGACAACATGCAAGCGCTCGAGCGTAAGCTCAACGCGCCTTTCATGATGCCCATTGCTGCCAAGTACAAGGACATGGGTACCATGATTGAGGGAAAGATCGAGTCTGGTATCATCAAGAAGGAACAGAAGTAAGTCACAGTGTCATAAGCTTTGTCTGTTTTGTACTAATGATATCAGGTACCTCATGATGCCCAACCGACAAACCATTCACATCTCCGCTTTGTACGGTGAACAAGAAGAGGAAATCCCAGGCGCAACCTGTGGAGACCAGATCCGTGTGAGGCTTCGGGGTGTTGAAGAAGAAGACATTCTGCCTGTAAGCAAAGATTGGAAGATTGTTCTGATTGCTTGCTAACTTTGATGACCAGGGATACGTTCTGTGCTCACCAAAGCGCCCCGTCCACTGCGTCTCCCAGTTCGAGGCTCAGGTCGTACTGCTTGACATCAAGTCTATCCTAACAGCCGGATTCAACTGCGTGCTCCACGTCCATGCCGCACAAGAAGAGGTTACCATCACCGCACTGCTGCACAAGCTGGAGAAGGGCACTGGACGGAAATCGAAGAAGGCACCAGGATTCGCTACAAAGGGCATGAGCATCATTGCACGCTTGCAGATCACTGGTACAGCCGGAAACATCTGTGTTGAGCGATTCGAAGACTACCCACAGCTGGGACGTTTCACTCTTCGTGACCAGGGTCAGACAATCGCTATTGGCAAGATCACGAAGCTCATCACCGACGAGGCTTAAATGGCCGATTAAACCACGCATGATCAGCCCACGAGGAGGAAGAGGAGGAGCCGGATATCTGTATTGACGAAAAGCTGTCGCCATTGAGGCAACATAGCCTGAGGTTCCACGGCGTTTGGACGCAAGGCTAGCATAGACCAGCATCCGAACAATATGATGACGAGTATTCTTCCGATTCTAGTCATTGGAGTTCCTGTGTGTGATGATCTTCTACTGTACATGTATGATTCTCAGGGCTCGGAGATGAGCGTCACGGCACTGCTGTGAGACAAGCCTTTTAGTGCCGCAATCAACAGCAACCTTAATTGACCTTCCAAGTCAGGAAGTTGGATGCGTGTGCATGAAGGCTAGCGAGACGCAGAAGTCCATGACGTCACGACGCGTCTTCCAGTGAAAGAGCCTCGTCGCGTGACAGTCGCGTCACAGCCATCCATGGATGGATAGCAAGGCTATGCTTACGTCATCCACTCCCGCGGCCAAATTTCGCGACCGTCGCTCACGCAATGAACCTCTCAACCACCACGAACCTGCGCACGCTGCGTAAACCTCCCTCCCCCACCCGCCACGATGCAGGGCTTCAACATGGGGCGGTACTACCCGCCCGACGCCTCGAACCCACCCAGCTTCAACAACTCCTCCCACCCGCTCGGCAAACGCGCCAACAAGATCACCCAAGGCATCCTAACCGTCCGCTTCGAACTCCCCTTCGCCGTATGGTGCAACCACTGCACCCCACCCGCCATAATCGGCCAAGGCGTCCGATTTAACGCCGAAAAGAAGAAAGTAGGAAACTACCACACCACACCAATATGGAGTTTCCGCATGAAGCACAGCGCGTGCGGCGGGTGGTGGGAGATACGAACCGATCCACAGAACAGCGAATACGTAGTCGTTGAGGGGGCGCGACGGCGCGACTATGGACCTACCGTCAAGGACGATGCAGCGGATGGCGAGCTCAAGTTCCTGACAGAGGAGGAGAGGCAGAAGAGGCGGGACGATGCTTTTGCGAATCTAGAAGGCAAGATGGAGGATAAAGGGATTGAGAAAAAGAATAGAGAGCGGGTGGAGGAGTTGTATGATAAAGCGGAGGTTTGGCGGGATCCGTATGATGTCAATGCGAAGTTGAGGGAAGTGTTCCGTGGGAAGAGGAAGGTGTGGAGGAAGGAGGAGAGGCATAAGGAGGGTATGCAGGAGAAGTTTAGTTTGGGGCTGGATATTGTGGATGAGATCGAGGCGGATAGGACGAGGGCTGGGTTGGTGGAGTTTGGCGCTAAGGATGTGGGTGAGGGTGGGGAGTTGGAGGGGTTGGCGTGGAAGCCGCTGTTTGGGGAGGCGGAGGTGGGGGATGTGAAGGCTGTGGAGTCGGCGAGGAAGACGAAGAAGCTTAAGGCGGAAGTTGCGAAAGAGAAGTCGAGGCTGGGGTTGCAGCAGACATTAGTCGGGAATACGAGGGCGGTAGTTGATCCGTTCCTGAACAAAGACGCACCAGCGACACCGAGAGTCAATCTGGGCATATTGAAGAGGAAGAGAGACCCTGAGACGAAAGACGCGGTAGCGGTCTCAACGACATCAGATCAAGAGAAGGAGAAGACAGAAGCCGCGGTGCCGACGAAGAAGCCGGCCTTGCTTGGGGCGTTGGTGGGGTACGACTCGGATTGACCGCATCCGCACTCGATGATTGACGACCGTTAAACGACACTCTGTTGGCATTCCCTGGCGTTCGGGTGATGGAGCATATGATACCCCGTTTTCTTTTCATTTACTATCAGCAATTCACGCATACCAGTCTTCTGCTACAGGCCGGCTTTCACACTTGCCGCGGTTAGGAAGCTTCACACAATGGCATCAGCTCACGTTCACTATTGCAGTCGCCTGCTCGCTGTTCATCTAACACAATTTTGAAGATCCCTCAATGACCTTTACTGCTGGTACAACCCTGAACGTTACACTCGCCAATCTTCCACATCCTCAGCATCTGGCCAATACCAAATTTGTGGCAATTATGAGTTCAACACAAACCCACGATGATGACACACTAAAGGTAACTACTGGGCACTCACCCAGGGGTATCGGGGATCTACCACCAGAACTACTTTTAAAAATCGCCGACTTCGCTGCAGTCACCGATACGAATTCCAAGAAGATACTCTGCAAGCTCTGTCTAGTCAAGCCTCTCAACCCAACCGCGACGGAAGCGCTTTACGCCAACATTCATGCCGGTGCCGACTTCAACCCCGTCCTTCTCATACGAACCCTCCTCAGCCATCCCTCTCTCGCCGCCCTGGTGCGCTCGCTCAAGCTAAATGCAGTCTGGAACGGGTATCGGAACCAGAAATACCGGATAGCGATATTGAACAGCGATGACCCCAACACCCCTCCAGTAACCCTCGAAGACTTGCAGGGTTTAACTACAGATCCCGTTGTAAAACGGCTACTGCAAGCTCCAGATATTCACTTCGGCGCTGCAGCATGTGCATTGCTATATCTCCACACACCAAATATACATACCTCAAGTATGCCGTGGAAGGCCACTACCGCAAACTCAAACTCCCAGAGCTCTCCATCATGGTATCCACGCGACCATGGGAAATCCCCTTCCTACCCGGCCCCCTCTTACAGACACTACCAAACTACAACCTCCTCAAAAACATCACCATACGAACCCCCCACATAGACATCGACCGCATCGCAAAACTACTCCAACTACCCAACCTCCATCAACTAGAAGTCTGGAACCTGCGCGAACTCCAACCCCGTCATGCCTGGCACTGGGACGCCGCCCTATTCCCCAACCACACATCCACGGTCCGCCATCTCACTCTGCGCGGCGGCTACCTCCACGTCGATGTCTTGAGTCTGGTGATACGATGCTGCAAGTCGCTGTCTCACTTCGCTTATCACATGGCGCGGAATCATAACCACCGGTTTCAGCTCTGGACTAAGTTCGACAGGCCGACGAGCATCCATTTCGGCGTCGTTGTTGATGCGCTGAGGGAACATCGGGAGACGCTAAGGCATCTGGCGCTGTATAACACGGGGGCGACGGATAGACGTGTGGCTCCGAACTGGATCCCCGCGTCACTTGTTGACTTGTACAAGCTTGAGAGCTTGTGTATAGACGCTAGTGTCGTCTTCTCCCGCTCCTCATGGGGCCATCTCAAATACCTCCTCCCCGCTTCACTCAAGCGACTGCATCTATTGCATACCTGGTATGACTCGATGACGGACTGCGTGTTTGTGAGCGGCGCGTTGTATAAGATGTATGACAGATACCTCTTTCCGAGCTTGAGTTTTGTTGAGATGGAGGTGAACAGAGAGTTTTGGCGTTGGGCGGAGGAAGTGGAGAAGGAAGATGAGGGGTTTGTGTATAGGGCGTCGGCTATTAAGGCGTTGAGGGAGAAGGGGGTTAGGGCTGTGTATAGGAATAGGGAGGATGGGGAGGGGGAGTGGGGGGTTGTTCGGGGGTGGGATGGGGAGTGATGGGGTTGAGATTTCTCTGTTTCACGTTGAGTATACCCCGGGGCTATCACTGCTCTATGCTTTGCTGCTGTAGGCTTCGTTTAATATCTACACGCTCCCTGTCGAGCGCTGCAACACATTCCATTCTCAGATTTACTTACCCTCGGTGAAAGTGAAGTCACTGACTGCTCCTTCCTCTTTCGTCCTCCGGGTACACCTCGGAAGTCTCTGTCGGCTTCTGTACCACCGATACGTCATGAGCGCCCGAGCGCATCAGGCACGAGATTCGCCACCCACCAGTATATGATCTGCTCGTCCCCCGCCACCCTTCTTTTCCTCTCATTAGCCATTTCTAACAGATATGCGATGGCGCACACACTCTTCCACACACCCCTCTTCACCCTGCTTGTAATGGAGCCTTCCAAACAATGGGGGGGCTCTCCGCCTACAAGTGCGAATTAACGTTTGCGACCTTTGGGGAGGATCGGAGGCTTATTACTTGTTTTTTCACTCTATCAACGGGCAGCTGCGGCTGCCCGCCACTGTTTTCCTCCAAGGACGGTGGCTGAACTTTTTTTTGTGAGTTCACATCTTCTCATTCCTTGCTCTTGCGATGTGCTAGCAGATTTACATGACACGACATGGGCTTCTTTTCTTGACGGCGCTGGCGATCAGCTTATGGGTTAGAATGACGGAGAGGGTCAGTTTTGACTGGATGAGTGATGCTATATTGCTACATGATCGCCTTATTCTCTTGTCGTGATTGATACATGTTACCCAGGAGGTAGTCGCAGTGATGTTGTCCAGTGCAGATGATCATCTGGTGCTAATGTCTCCGCATGGCATGCGTGTGGAGTAGACGCTCAAGCGTGCAGTGGTAAATGTAGAAGCCTGTTGACCCACATTCGTCACGTCAATCTGGTGGATCGTTGCCTATCCTGAACTTCATCGCGGAGGCGTGTTTGCATATCCGATAGTGGCAACGGTGACTGCATATGAGGTTGACGACAGGCCAGTCATAATAGACCTTGATCAAACGCTCAAGGAGCGAGATGTTGAGAATGCTACCGGAGAAGCTCTCACCCTTGACTTGATGACAGGCGGAAGTTGGAGATGGTCGCCACCCAAGACTACTAGGCCCACGTCGAGGAACCATTCCGTGGTCAAAATGAGCATCAAAGACGCCTCAGTAGCTTGCGAGGCCTCATCGAAAAGGACAATGTCGAACTTGTCTACATCTGACAGCCCTAGAACACGCTGAATGACCTCGCGCTGAGAAGCTGCGGAGGTGGCGGCGACTAGTCGAGGCTTGTCGATGCATGCCTTCATGAGCTCCTGGATGGTTGAGCCGCGAGACATCGTAGCACCAGGGACCTTCGGCTGACCGGTCTGGAATCTGCACTGCTACCCGGCCATTTCATTGGCGTACTTGGTGTAGGTGAGGTACGACTCCTCATTCACGTTGGCGCAGGCGCACCCCGCCATCTTTTACGCGGAGCAGTCGGAGATGTTGAACGCGGAGATAGAGATTACCATTCCATCGGAGTAGTCAGGTGGCCTCATATGAGCCATCGTGAAACCCCGCGAGCGCCTTATTGACGGTGTTAGCTTGTAGGCGAAGCAAAAAGCCCTTGCAAAATCATACGATGCTAGACAACTACATGAAATCAGTCTGAGCTGGAATACACGCGATGGTAGTAGCAGACAGCTACAAACACCGTTATATGTATTGAGATGCATGCAAAGGATGGAGGGGACGAATACGATGGTGCGATAAGTTGGTCGCTATCATGTGGAGAACTGGCGAGTACCTCCGGGGTCCTACATGGCAAGTGGTAGCCTTCCAGTAACAGGGAATGTCGGAAGCATACCGAGGTTGGGACTGGAGATGGCCCAGGGTGATGAGCGATGCGCACGGCAAAAGTAGCATTGTGTAGGACAAGTATTCTTTATTCTTTACTATCTTCGTGGGCTTGTGAGCCTCGGTGGTTACGTCATGTCGACGCGAACTAGCGTCGCGCTAGTCAGCTAGGAAGGAGACGCGTCGTGCCCAGGTGCGATCACGATCACCCATTTGTCTCAACTCATCCATCTTCACAACAGAGGTCGCGTCAGCCACTTCTCGCAGCCATCGCATTGCGCGATTGCATACTGCCAGATGTGCAGATGCGAACCCCAATCTAACGCGTTCCTTGCCATAGACGACAACATGCATGAAGTATGCACGACCATGCGGTGTCTGGTCAACTCACAGGCCATGAGGTGATACAGTACATACACTCGAACTAACTACTCGATGGCATCTTTGTTTATAATAGCTTTGCGACAACCCCGAATCTTTTATTGCTCGCGGCTGTATCAACACGAAAGAGTCCAGGCAGCCACTGGTCTTCGTCTGGTAGGGAGATCCAACCTTTGTCTGCTCATGTTGCTCTCGCAGAACCAACACATCAACATCACAGGCGTTTCACAACCCTTCGTCGATGTCACTGCCGCGACCAGGAAGCTCGACTCTGACTAGCGACGGTCGTGCAACCCCTCCCTCTCACATGAGCCGAATTTGCTGTGCCTCACGAACGCGTCTCCCCCTGGAATAGCGGAGGATTTGTCTCATACAGTTCAGCTCGACAGTGTGTTGAGGAAGAAGTCGACCACAACTCGACGCCTGGTAGACAAGATGTGGCTTGCATTTATAGCCGCCCTTTGCCTGACCGCAACGACGAGACGTTCCGTTCTTTCTCTGAGTGTCGGCTACCTGGTCACGTCCTCCCACGGTCACAACTGTTGATTCAAGGCGCATATCGAAAGTTAACAGGCGGCTGATGCATGCTCAAAGCAACTCGGTTAACCGGAAGAATCCTTTCAGCTCCTTGCCCAACCCCACGCGACGTTGTTATTTCCCAATGTGTAAGAATCCTATATGGCCGGGGTCGCTTCTCACAGCATGGTACCCACTATGAAGCATGACTACGAGTCAGTCTCCGAGGAGCTGTCTCGAAAGACAAGACTGGTTGAGGGAGCAAATGGTCTCGTTGACCAATTCATCTCTCGAACCTATTGGAGAACCTTCTAGATCTCACAATGAGCAAGATTCTACTCACGGGCGCCACAGGATACGTTGGCGGTACTGTTCTCGCCCAGCTCATTGCAAACACAGCACCGAGTATCAAAGATCTCACTTTCGACCTCCTCATCCGCGATGCAACGCAAGCTCAGAAGCTCAAAACCGTATACGGCTCCCGTGTAAACACCATCGAATGGTCCGGTCTGGAAGATGTAGCCTTCATCGAAGACACAGCATCCAACTACGACATCATCATCAACACAGGCTCTGGCTTCATTCCTGAAGGGGCCATTGCCTTTGTCAATGGACTCGCTCGTGGCATCGATGCTGGCAAGCCGGCGCCATGGATATTGCACATATCAGGTTGCACCAACCTGTCTGACCGTCCCATATCGCAACCTCCACGACCCATACGAGAATGGAACGACGAGACAGACAAAGGCAAGATCTTCAACTTCATGAGAGCGCTCGATGGGATGGAGCCCTACACACAGCGGACAACAGAAGTGGGCGTCTTGGAGGCTGCTGATGCTACTGGCGTACAAGCTATCAGTATCAACACACCATGCATCTTTGGCGAAGGCACCGGCTTGTTCAACAAGCAAGGCCTGGTCATTCCCTTGATCATGATGTACGTTGTACAGCATGGATACGGTTGGAAGCTCAATGAAACAGCAAACTTTGATTGGGTTCACGTCATCGATCTCGCCGACATCTACGTCCTCCTCGTTCGCAAGATCCTCGAACGCGAAGATCGCGGCGTCAGTTACCTCCCATCCGGCAAGAACGGCGTCATGTTCGCGGCCGTCGGGCGCACGCTCATCAAGGACATCAACCAAGGGTGTCTGGACGCAGCATTCGCTGACGGTATCTTGCCACGTGAAGGTACTCCCAAGGAGAAGGAGATTCGGTCTGTGCCGCTGCATGAGATTGCCGACAAGCTCACTGCGGGTCGTCGCGATATCGCGGAGCGTGGTTGGGGTGGGCATAAAGCTACGAAAGCGGTACTTGCACGCAAGCTATTGGGCTGGAAGCCAAAGAGACAGCAAGATGCTTGGGAAGCTGACTTCCAAGCCGAGTTGATTGCACTGGAGGAGAACAGGCGCATGGTCACAATGGAGAGCTGCATTGGCGCGACTAAGAAGTGAGCGACGAGGCGGTGGGCTTTCCATTGAGCATGCCATCTTCGACACCTATCCAAGGAGCGAAAAGATCTATACTGCGCATCGACAGTTTCTTCTAGTTGGTCACCTTGAAGCTCCTCTAGCGCCCTTGAATCGCAAATAGAACTACGATACGACAATTCCTGCTTTCGTTCTCATCGCAATCCAAACGTGAAAATCGCGTCCCTCTCAGAATGTCCTCGACGCGTTTCATGCAACAGCATACGCGGCTCACGCATCCTTCGGCCGGGAATAACATCCCATCGGAGCTGCCTACCATCCTAAGCGGCAGGTCCCTTGTGTAGGATTTAGCCACGGCATAGGGCGTGGGGTAATGTCCGCTCTCGAGTCAGTGCGGCGTGGACATTTATGCGACACTACCGAGTATGAGCTCATCTTTGCGTCAAAATCCTAACCGAGCCTCACAGACCACCAAGAGTTGCTTCTATTCAGATAATGCATCGGCATTCTTAGCGCGACCAGGGGATGTCCGTACTTGCTCCAGTGAGATGGTGATCAGACATGAAAGAGATGCCATTTCGAGCTGCGACTGCATAGGCATCCAAGGCCGTTGCACTTGGGCGAAACGACAACCATGTGATTTACCAATAGACATAACGATTGTCCGCCTGTTCTTCCACGCCGTGAGGCACGGCGGGTGGCCCCGAGTAGGCCAATAGGTGTACCTATGTCATCACCTGTGTCTGTAGTGGCACTTGGCTTTGGATAGGACACTTTCTCCACACGCATCAGTTCTTCTTTGGTGTTTGACCATCGCAGATGTCTCCACTGCAGAACATGTCTCGTCAAATGCAGCCTCGCGGACTCGAGAGTGATACCAAGCAGTCTTCATTATTCGCCATCGGCATCCCCTTCATCGCAATTGCCAGTGTCGTAGTATTCCTACGCGTCTATGTTCGTGTACGCTTGATACGGCTGAAACTGGCTACCGACGACTGTGAGTTGACCTCTATAGCCAACACTGCCAAGCAGCATGCTGACAGCCAAAATCAGATTTGATAATCTCTGGCGCATTCTTCACCATCTCGCTGTCAGTCGCTAATATGGTTTGTAAGTCTACAAATCTCATATCGAAGGCGTGATTGAGCTCGAGATTGACAAATAGCCCATTCGCAGGCGGTTGGTACGGTGTAGGCAAGCACAGTAAGCAGTCGATACCGATCATCTACTCGAATTTTAGCTGACGATTCCACAGCACCCGACATTCCCAACGAAGACCTCACTCCAATGTTGAAGGCAAATCTCGCAACGCGACTCCTATACGTTGTAGCGATATGTCTCGTCAAGTTCAGCATCCTCGTCTTCTACCACCGACTAGACCCTCGACGACCCACGAGATGGATTGTGTACTTCCTAATGGCATGGGTAGCCGCCCTGTCCATTGTAACTTTCTTTGTGCTATTATTCGTCTGCACGCCGCCATCGCTGTTTTGGGATCCTGCGGGCCAGGCTCTGCACCCAGAGAAGTGCCTGAAGCAGGACACACAGCAAGTGTTCTTCAACATCAACGGCATCATGAAGTAAGCATTGCAACCAAAATCTCAACTTCATGCAGACTCATTGACTCTTGCGTCCTACAGCATCGTTCAAGACTTCGCCATTTACATCCTACCAATGCACATCGTCTGGAAGCTGCAGATGCCGCGCGGTCAAAAGATGGCTTTGTGCGCTCTTCTCGGTGTCGGACTGGTCGCAGTTGCAGCTGGCTGTGTGCGCTTCTACTACGTGCTCTTTCTCTCCGACGAAGCCGATGTTTGGTACTACATGGCCGACTCGTTGAACTGGTGTAGCATCGAGATCTACGCGGGTATGTCTCCTCTCAAATCTTTGATCAAATTCCTCAAGGCTGACTTTGTGTTGTTGCAGCCATCATATGCAGCTCGGCATCGACCTTCAAAGTCCTCATCAAAACCTACCTTCCTAGAGTCTGGAGCAGCGCCGGAAGTCACGACAAGGCTTCCAGCACGCTTCGCGCACAGTCCGATCGATCATATAGCAGCAGATTTGAGATGAAGCGTTTTGGCATCTCATCGAACAAGTCAAACAGCAATAGGAAGTATGGGATTGAGGGGCTCACAGACCTTGGAAACGAAAGCGAGGAAGCCATTGTGCGACCTGAAAGCAAGATGGGCAGGGATATCGCGGTCTTCGTGACGCAGCACTAGCTCATTTGGAGAGTCGCAATATCAAATGAAGCTGGACAGCTTGATGCTGAGCAAAAGAGATAGACAAAAGCATAGCTTCATGGGAGTTCTGGCGCCAATCAACCATTGAGATAAGAGTGTGCTGTCCGGGTGACTTCTCTATCTTGTATGCTTATGGATAGCAACGAAGAAGGCGAGCCACTTGGCTACATCGTGAACTGGAAGACAAGGATACTACAATACATTTCCACCACGTGCTGGGCACTCCAGAATCCGCATATATGATACCAATTACACGTCGCATGGGTAAGTGTGGAGTGTGCATCCGCAGAGCATCTCTTGCGAGGGGAAAGCAATGAGCGATTTGGGACGGGAAGTGTTCTGGGTCCAGATCGCTGCCTAGTGGCACCGCGGAAACTAGTGGTGATCCGCCTTTCCTTTTTCGGTGATGGCGCGGCACGCCTTACATTCACCCTGAGGCAGCCGCCCGGGAACGTCTTCTGGGCTCCGCGCTCGAGCGTTCGTTGCCTTGAAAAATTGCTATTCATGGCTTCGTTCAGGCTGGCCCGACAAGCCTCGCGCATTGCAGCCTGGCGCGTGCCCAGATGTAGCATAGCTCGTTCTACACCGTACCCGTCTTCGGCACTACAAATGCAAAGACAGTTTCCCATAGTCCGCTATCGACTATTCACCTCAACATCGCATACCGCTACTGCCTCAGGGAAAGAGACAATGGAAGAAAGTCTTCGCAATATGGATCTTGATGCGGCGGAGAAGCACATGAAGGACTGGTTCGGTGACCATGCATCATGGAGTCACGAACAGCTGCTCAATCTTGTCTATGGTACTAGAACTTCAACAATCTTATGAATAATCACTAACATATACAAGAGGAGGACCTAATATCAGTGCGAAACCTGCAGAACTTCAGTGACTACAGTACTGGTGGTCTTCGAGTCGGCGGCGGCCGCCCATCTTTCCCACTCATGACACAAGAAGAATACGGGCTTTTGAACGCGCCATACAGCCAATGGGCTCCTGCACCTTTCAACAGAAACAGCTACAGTTGCATGGACCGCATTTCCCCGCTGATCAAGAGACAAGAGCTCCCAGAACTCAGGAGACAACCCCACATGGGCTTCCTCGCGCGTCTACGCCCCCTCAAAGCAAAGCTTTTGCTCGGTATGGTGCCAATCAGCGGAGATCGCTGGGTAGAACGCAAGATGGATGACCCTGCCAACTACAGGAACCTCTTTGAATTGATCAATGATCTCACCAAGATATTTGAATGGTTCAATCACGAGGAGGTGCGCACCCGGACTCGCGACGCTTTCAACTGGATGGTCGACCGATATGTCGAGTTTCAGAAGGCAGCTAATTTGCGACGCGAGCAAAATGGCGTCGAAGAGAAATTGGATCTTGCCGGCATGTGGGCAGAGTACTGGAACGACGGGATGACAAACATGTCACAGCGTACGCATCAATGGGTTGTAGATCGCGTGGATGAAGTTCAAGCGCGTGCTTTCGAGCAGTATCAAGAGGCACTGAATACCGCTGGAACCGACGAAGCAGCCATCGGTGAGGCCGGCAAGAAGTACTACGAGTGTGTCCAAGATCTCAGAGGCATGCTCACCAGACTCGAGTACACGATCGGCGTCCCAATGACCGGTTTCAAGGGCTACACAGCCACCAACGCCTTCACCGACCTCCCCGTAGCCCAACGAAAAAACACCTGGTCCCAAATCATGGGAAGCAAGTCCTTCAAGCACCAGTTAGCCATCTTAGAAGCCGAAGACAAAGCCGCCGCCGAAACCGCCGCCAACCCACCCTCCCTAGCAGAACAGATGGACATAATGGGCCAACTCACCAAGCCAGCCCACCCCCGTTTCCGCGACACCGAGAACCTGCTCGGCCACTACGAAGAAGGCAAGAAGAATCGCGATGAAACCCGCCTCGCCCTCTGCGGTCCACCCAAGCCCGTCGCGCAAGAACATTGGATCACCATTCTACGCGAGCGCATGGAGTTCTACGCAAAGAACCCGCGCAACCTAGAGAGAAATCCCGATGCATGGGGTTTCGTATGCTACCGCCTAACCTACTCGGAAACAGACGAAGAATGGGCTACCTTTCAAGAAAACTTCACCAAAGACGTTATGCGATCTGGGACGTGGATCTCCGGCTTCGACGCTATCAAGAACAAGTCCAAGATCATGTTCATCGACGGGCGGGAGGCTGGGATCGCGGAAGGCGACATCGCGGCTGCGAAACAGCATTTCAAGCGGACTTTCACCATGCTACCCACGCTGGGCCGTATGTGGACGCAAGATTTCCTCGTCGTGGACAAACAAGCGTTCAAATCGCATGTCGACCCCCCATCCGAGGAAACCAGACCCCCGCCACCGTACGGTGCGTCGTGGGGAAGTAATGGCGGGCATGTGCGTCTTGTAGACACGACATTAGACCTGCTTTCCCAGGAGTTTATCGACCAAGTATCGCCGGGATACAGAGGAGAGATGAAGATTTTGTCGAGCCTGCTTCTGGAAGAACTGTATCCGCTGCTCGCGACGCTGTCTGTTCGTCCATTTGGACTTTGGCCTTGTGCGCGGTTGCATCCGAGGGAGGTTTATGTGGGGACTACGGATGCGGCGCAGGAGGGGTGGTGGGAGTTTAGTCGGATTGATCAGAGTTTGATGCAGGGGTTCTTTCAGAGTATGAGGGGGAGGCAGGCGGATTTGAGGGCTAGGCAGGGTTGAGTGGTTGGGGGGGAGTAGGGAGTTTGTCTTGTGTTGCGGTTCGCGAGATTTTGCTCATGTTGAAGACTACTTGAATATCTGGATGTTCTTTTGCACAGTGACAACTTTCGCCTGCCGTTGAGTTACAAGATTCATACCGTCATCAGATTGTCCGGCCTTTTCTTTACGCTTTGTCTTGCCAAACACCCTTTGTTCAATTTCGCCACTCTTATCACTCGCGCTATACCATACAAAGCCTTTGTACACACTCACCTTTATCCCGATCTAGCACACCGTACCAACAGTCGTGAGCCATGGTATCGAAATGCTCATCCTACATTCTCTCACTGCCAGTACGATGACTCAACAACGACGAGCCAAACCCATTTGCAGCGCTCCATGCGACCCCTACGCGAGGAGATACGCTCGAATGAGAAGCATCGCAACTTCAAGAATACATGTTCCTCCAAAGATGTCTGATGCGATTCGCACACGAAAGGTGACGATAGCGGAAGTTGACGCTGCGTTTGGCAGAGACCACGGTGTTGGGTTGTACCAGAGAAAACCACAAAATCTCGTCACCACGGAAGTCGTCCCAGCGTCTCTCAAAAGCGACGACCCTCCTCCATCCCAGAGAATCCCACAAAAGAGACCTAGAGCCGACGTAGACGACCATCCCAACCGAGAGCCTCCCCCATACCACCACCAACCCCACCCCTCACAACCCCCTCAACCACACGCACCACACACCCCACACGCACCAGCCCATCACTTCGACCCCTACCAACCCCCACAAAAACGACAAAAACGCCACATACCCAACTCCTTCTACCCCACCTCCCCCACCGCACGCTTCGGCATCATACCCGCAACCGCACCCTGTACCCTCGCTCACATGGCTCACCTGGGGAAGACAAGCACCGCCATGGGCGTTTGTGTATGTAAACATGTTTCTAGGGTATGTAGAGGTATTTGTAGGGATATTCCGGGATATGTGAGGGATGTGCATAGGGCGGGGGTGGTGAGGGGGGTGTTTGAGATGATGGATGTACCAGAGGAGTGTTCGAGCTTAGAAAGTGTGATACACAGCGCTACACGAGAAGAGGAGGAAAGGGTGGATTCTGTCACGCGAACGTCAGCTCAGAAGGTAGACGGGGCGATGCGCAAGGGATTGACGAAAGAAGAGCGGAGACACGGAACGATTTTCACACCTTTCTCTGATGAAGAGCTGAGGGCGTTGCGGTCTCGAAAGCGGGATGCACGGAACGCGAAGGCGTCAAAACCATCGAGCAAACCCACGCCACCCACAACCCGCTGTCCCCTCTGCCACTTCGACAGCCCATCAACATCCCCATTCTGCACCACATGTCTAACCCCCTACCCACCAGATCCGGCACCCAAATCACACGCTCGAGGCATAGTATCGTATGACAAGTTTCCCGACATCTACACCTCGCCGGTCGACGGACAGCAAGCTACACTCCTTACCTACACATCAAACGAAGACCCCGATGAAAGCTATCTATGTACAGGTGGCGCCGGGCCACCCGGTACCATAACTCCCTCTGGTGCCCACGTGGCAATAACGTCGGACGAACGGCGTCGACTGCTGCGAGCGAGGGAGCAGGCGTGGAAGAATGATAGTTTGAGGGAGGCGAGGGAGCAGGAGCGACGGGAGATGGCTAGGCAGAATGGGGTGCAAATCCCGAAAGGTAACGCGTCGTACTTCTCGGACGTGCAAGAAGAGGCTGCGACGAGGGAGGCGTTGAGTCAGGATAGAAATGTCGAAGTGAAGAGGGCGTGGATGTTGAAACTCGCGGGGTACAGAAAAAAAGCTGAAGAAGAGAAAGTACCCTTCCCGCTGAACGTCTCTGGCTACGAAGCGTTGGAAGACTCGGAGGTAACGCGGTTAGAAGGAGATATCGAGCTGTTGGATGGCTGGTTGGCTAGTATGGGTTACACTGACATTCTTCCTTCCCCTAAAAGCCATGAGAGCGATGAAAAAAAGACACCGCTGACCTCGAAACGATTAGCTGCCAGAACGAAACGACTCAAAGCGATCCAGCAACGAGAAGCAGACCGGCAGTACCTCGAATATATCGCGGACCTACAGCGCCAAGCACTTTCCATGGGATATGAGTTCCCTGAAGGTGTCCCAGGTTGGGAAGAGGTTCATCCTTCGGAGCAACGTCGTATATTATGGGCGGCGTATACAAATCAAGTCAACGCCACGTCGAAGAAGAAGAGGAAAAAGGCGCGACGAGGATCACGGAATTCGAACACCATCGCCACTCCCGAGGAGCAGGCCCGAATGAAACGTTACGCGTTTTTGAAAGAGAAACTTGAGCAACCATACTGGGAAGAGCGAGTACGTGAGACCGGAGAGTCGAGAAGCGCCATCTTGCGAGCCGGAGGGAGGTGGCCGGAAGACGCGACATACGAGGACGATAATGATGAGGAGTTGAAGGAGCTGGTGGGTTATATAACAGAATTTTTGGAGCTGAAGGAAGAGTTTGGAGATCAATAGGAGAAATTGTCGGTAGCCGTAAGCAAGCGTTGAGATGATGTCGCTGGTCGTCTCATTGCGCCTTCCCTCCACAATTAGTCATCACCCATCTAGCCAATCAGAAGCCACGGCGTCGACTCATCCTGAGCCGAGCGCCATCCATCTTAGCACCGCGCCCTGCTTGGCCATGTCCTTTTTCGTGTATATGAGGAAGAAGGTCGCCGATGCCCAAGACAACCAAACCTGAAGACTGCATTCCAGCGACGACACTGCTAAGCTCAACAGTCGGCAATCCCTCTCACAATGGTACGCAAAGGGAAAGAGGCAACACCAGCCGCGGAAGAGCATCACGGCGGTGGACACATAACAGTCACGGCGCAGCAATCGCGGTACGCAGTTGATTCTGTCGATGCACCTGCGTCAAAAGAGGTAGGCGTGCCCTCACCTCTCCCTCATACACCAAGTTGAATCATGTAGATACTCGTCAAAGACCTGTCTATCACAGTCGCCAACCGAGAACTACTATCACGTACAACACTTCACCTGGTAGAAGCACGCCACTACGTGATGGTAGGTCGAAACGGGACAGGGAAGTCTACACTCCTCAAAGCCATCGCCGATGGTCTGGTTCCGGGTATACCATGGAGTACGCGCATTCTCCTTCTAGGTCAGACGAGAGAGGACGACTTGGGAGATGAGATGACTGCGTTGAGCCTGGAGAGCGAGACTGTCTTGCAGCATGTTGTCCGGAGTGATCGGGTTCGAGAGCGCTACGTGCGAGAAGCGAAATTGCTTAGTGAGGCGGTCGAGAACTCTGTTGATTCCATGGCACCGGTTCAGGCGTACAGGCGTATTGGGCATGAAAGATTAGGTTTGCAATTGAGAGAGGGTCATCGGATTGCTGAGAGGAGGAGTGGTGCTCGGGGCAAAGCAGCCAGGAAGGAGCTGATTAAGCTTGAAGAGCGCTTCGAAGAATCTGAGAAGCGGCTGCAAGAGACCGAGATCGATGCCACGAAGCTCAGCGAAGAGACACAAGCAGCTGCGGATTTGCTTGCTGGCGTGCAAGCCTCCCTCGAGCTCATGGATGCAGCTGAGGCAGAAGCAAAAGCGCGCGTGGTTTTGCTAGGCCTTGGCTTCAAGGAGGATCGCATCGACAAGCCCGTGTCGGAACTCTCAGGAGGATGGAAGACGCGCTGCGATCTAGCTTGTGCTCTCACACAGTATGCGGACGTACTACTTCTCGACGAGCCCACCAACTTCCTAGACTTGCCGTCAATTATCTGGCTACAAGACTATATCCGCAATCTCAAAGGCACGACTGTCCTCATAACGACCCATGATCGCGACTTTGGAGACGCGGTAGCCGAAGAGCTCATTGTCCTCCGCAACCAGGTTCTCGAGACTTTCCGCGGTAACCTCAGTCTGTACGAGCGCGAAAGATGGAAGAAGGTCAGGTACATGACTAAGATGAAGGATGCCCAGGTCAAGCAGAAGAAGCACATTGAGAAGACCATCGCAGGCAACATCAAGGCCGCCAAGGACAAGGGAGACGACAAGAAATTGAAACAGGCTGCGTCTCGGAAGAAAAAACTTGATGACAGAATGGGGCTGCAGGTCAGTGCCAAAGGTGGTCGCTTCAAGCTGAACCGCGATCTCGCAGGCTATCACACGACGCAGCGGGCGGAGATTGAGATACCTGATTTCGATCCCCCAGTGCACCTCTCCTTCCCACATCAGCCGCCCGAGTTGAAGTTTCCCGGGGCACTGGTAAGTATAGAGAAGGTGTCATTTGCATACCCTGGGCGAAAGAAATTGCCCATCTTGACCGACGTCAGTCTGACCATACATCCGAGGGACCGGGTAGGTTTAGCAGGCCTGAACGGTTCAGGGAAGACGACGCTGGTCTCCATAATAATGGGCGGTGATGAAGAGGGCGGTCTCAAGCCCACATCTGGCAGTGTCGCGCGCCATGCAAGGGTGAAGATTGGCCGCTTCTCGCAGCAGTCGGTCGAAGAGCTCACTGCGACCGCGGCTGCCAACCCTCAGACGACAGCGCTCCGGCACGTGATGGAAAGTATTGGCGAGGGCGCACAGGAGAAGGATGCGCGGACAGTGCTGGGTGGACTGGGACTCCATGGCCAGACGGTGTCGGACGTTCCGCTCGTGCTCCTTTCGGGAGGGCAGAAGGTCAGGGTCGCACTTGCCAAGTTGCTATGGCCGCCGCCGCAACTGCTCATTCTCGACGAGGTGACGACGCACCTGGACGCTGATACTATTTTGGGTCTCGTGATGGCGCTGCGAGAGTACAATGGAGCGCTGCTGGTGGTGACACACGACCGGTTCTTCATGAGGTGAGATTATTGCAGTCAATAAATAGAGTTCTTACTAACACCCCGCAGAACGGTGGTGCAGAGGGAGTCGGCGTACAAGCTAGCGCCAGGGGTTCACGCGTCCGAGGGCGAGGCTGACGACAGCAGCGAGTCGGAGGATGAAGCGCCAGGGTTAGCTCCGGGGAGCGTTTTTCGGCTGACTAGAGGGCAGCTCAGGAAGCTTGACGGCGGCATGGACGAGTATGAGGACATTGCGGCGCGGACAGCGGCGAGGCTGGCCAGAGCGGAGGGAAAAGAGCGAAAATAGACGCGAGCACGAGCGAGTGCAATTTGAGCGTCGCGTCCAGAGTCTCGACAGAGAGTCGACAAGCCGTAGAGAGTCCTGTCAGACAGGTCGGGCCCTTTGGTTCGGGCGGGCTGGCTTCCCGCTGCACGCACGGCTGACTGCGCGCCTCCTGCGCGCGCATCATAGTGCCCGGCAGAGGCATTAGGGGCAGCTTTTCGCGCCAAGCCGCAGCGAGATAATATTGCTCCAACGAACGCGTCGCTCCTTTTGCCTGCAGCGTCCAATTGGTCTCCTCTCATTAGCCATTGGCGTGCACTATGCCCATCTTTCCTTGTATACTACCCCTTCCGACCGTAATAGTAATGTCATAGCTGCAGCTATAATCCTTCCACGCTGCAGGCACGCATGAACGACTCTGCGTATCGAGATAAGCTCGAGCTTGGGAACCCTGAGTAATAATAACTGCAAGCCATCATGGGCGAAACCGAATCGTCCACGCCTCGCTCCACCGCCGAACCACAGCTCAAGGCGGCCAAGGACAAGAACTGTCCCTTTTGCGGCCAGGCCTTCACCTCGTCCAGCCTGGGACGCCATCTGGACCTGTACATCCGCCCCAAGAATCCAAAGGCGCCCGATGGCGTGCACAATGTCGACGAGATACGGAAGCTGCGAGGCGGCATCACACGGCGGCAGGCCAAGGGCAGCGTGTCAACACCGCGGAGAGATGACAGCGGCACGAGCACGCCCGCGAACAAGAAGCGCATAACGAGCGAGGATTCGGTCCTTGTGCAGAGCCCGGAAGACGACGATGAGCCGCTCGAGGTGGGCAAGACGAGGGGGCAGTTCAAGGATGTCAGCTGGGGAAGCGGCCACCGGCCCTCACGACTCAACACCAAAACACCAGACCCTCGCCGGGACGTATCGCGGCAGTCGCGAAAGGCCGAGCTGGACCAGAGGCAGAAGTCGAATGAGGAGACTGAGATTGCGAGTGCCACCGAGATGGCGCTGCGGGAGCTGCTGAAGAGCGTGCGAGAAGCGAAGTATGTGCCTTATATTCGCTCACCATATATCCTGCTAATAAAAACAGCGCAAAAGCATCCGGCTCCGGCCTCTTCGAATTCGACCCTTACACCCAGAGCTTCCCCTCGCTGTGCCTCCAGATCCTCCCCGCGCCCTCTACCCTCTTCTCCCCCACGCCCTTTCCCACGTCCGAGTCATGGTCCATCACCCCGCCGGGACAGAAGCAGTTCGAAGCGCTGAATAAGCAGGTCCGCGAGCGTCTGCTTGCCTACCAGCGCCAGCGCCAGATCAACCAGGTCTATCCCTCGGGCTCACACTCTTCCGCTCCTTCCACCACCACCTCGCCCCTGCCCACCCCGCCGCTCTTCGACCACGACCCACAACGCCTCTTTGGCCACATTGCAGACGCCTTCCACCACTGGACACAGCAGTCAGATAAGACGAGGCAGGAGTGCTGGCAGGTCGAGATACTGCGCTGCTATGCCCGCGCCGACGACAGGCGACGGGAAGCCGAGGTGCAGCTGGGGAATGCACGCAGGGAGATTGAATACCTGAAAGCCAGCCGCTGGACCTCAGGTGCCCCCGATGTATCGCCCATCAGCATCAACCTTGGTACCGACACGGCCAGAGAGCTTGCCAAGCACGGCATGGACTATCGCAACTGGGACTACGACCGCCTCATCGACAAGTGGCGGACCGCTATACGCGAGAACAGGGCCTCGGTCTCCGGTATGGGCGCGCAAAAGCCATTGCCCGGTGGTACCAGTACCAGAAGCTGCTCCATGGCTAGCATCCCACCACAATTCGCTACTGTGAACCAGCCCAGGCAAGGCAGCCCAATCAAGGTTGAGTCCAACATGCCCTTTAGCGCGCCGCCCACCGTATGTGGTGATGGAGACTGCGATCAGGTTGATGCGGAAGGCGACGATGACGACGACGACATTGACCTGACGCCCCAAACAATTGAGGAGGATGACTCGATGCATCAGATGCAGCATCAGGCCCAGCAACAGGCCTTGCATCACCCCCAGCCCCAACATCACCACGGAGCACCCCTCCAGCCCACCCCGCCACATCCTTCGCAACAGTTTCAGCCACACATGCAACCTACCCAGCACATCACGCAGGCCCAGATTGCTCAAGCGCAGGCTCAAGCCCAAGCATGGGCAGCCGCACGCCAGCACATGAACCAGTCGCGCAACCAAGACTTCCGGCCCCACCAGCAGCACCAGCTCTCGCCCCATGTGCAGCACGTCGGCTCAGCTGACAGCAGTCGCCGAGAATCGCTAGCCATGATGGACCCCCACGCCATGAACCAAAATAACATGAGCGGCATGGGCAACTCCATGGGCATGTCAAGCGGCATGGACGGTCTCGACAGCCACCAAGACCAATTCATGCGCATGGACATGGGCATGTCAACGGGCTTTGTCGGCTCCAACGACCCCAGCGTCTCGATGGGTTGATCGAACTCTCGAAACTGTTCGATGCTGTTCATAGAACAGCGAAAATTGTCACCAAACCGGCGTCGGACTCTTCGGGCAAAGGCGTAACGTGATACACGGAACGCGATACACGGAACAGTCCACACTCTACAGCGATATTTCCCTTTTCTCCATCTCCGACATATCTCATATCTACCGCAAATTTTCGTTTGTCTTTCTTATCTTTCTAACTACTACTACTCAGCTCGGCTTTTCGCTATACCCATTATACCCGGCCTTGCAGCTTGATACCCCCAGTTCAATTTCCTTTATCAACCAGAACGGTATTTTTACTTACCGCAACATCTCTTACACATATATACGTACTAATAAGCCTCTTCTCCTCTTTCTTCTTTTTTGTACTCAGCTATCGAGATTGTTATCAGCATCGTTCTTGTTTTTCCTATGTAGATGTCTACACACATATGCCTTCGTTGGCACTGGCGGGCAAATGTCGTTGTTGCACCGTATCTTGGGAGGTCTTTTGTGCTGCTTCAAGTTGTATATACCCAACACCAAACTTTTCACTTGTTAGATATTAGAGAAATATGGGGTGGATTGGATTGGATAGGATGGGGGGTGGAGTGGGTGGAAGAATCGAATTTAAAAATACTTTGAAAACGTGGACGTTTTGTGATGCGAGGCTATAGATGTGGTGCTGGTATTGAATGTGAATATCGCGATCGAGATTAAGATGGCCATGAGCGATCCGGCTCTGGTTTAAGTATCGCAGCTGGATGACTCCATACGTAAGATGTAGATGAGTCGTCTTCTCCGACATCGCCGTTTCCCGTCTGCGCAGAGGGTGAGACGCAATGTAGCGCGGGCATAGAGGATTCGTCTCCGGAAACGTAACAAGGGGAGCATGGAAAGCTGGAGGTGGAGATGTGGGCGTAGTAGAGTATGGAAAAGTGTCAATGGATTGCAAGGTAAGCTAAACATTTGAGCGTAGTCTGGTGGGAATCCGACCAGGTGCATGGAGAAGCGGCTGGGTGTTGCATGTGATGCGCGTCGTGGACTGGTGACGAAGGCAATGGACTGGTGGGTTGGGGATACAAACTGCTGGATGGAAGTCGCGGATCGTTGTTATACTTGGAGCGACATACTGTGTTGCTGATCACTCTCAACTGAAGAGAAAACCAGAAGCGAAGTACTCTGACGGCATGTCTGGGTTACCGCGTGGACGAGGTGGAAGACGAGGATATGGAAACGGTTGGAGAGGGAGGAGTTCCACTGACTTCGGTTACCGTGAAATAGGTAGAGGAAAGTTCAATGACACTCTGAATGGTGGAGGGTTCAATAATTTCCTAGGTGGAAGGGGTAGAGGAGTTGGCTACGGCCTTCCGGTCAGAGGCATGGGAGATGATGATAGGAGAGAAGAATCCTCATCCGTTCCAGAACATCGGATTCCCAAAGGGCCCAAGGCCGACCGTCAAGAGAAGGAGGACGCATCGGCCGTCCCACAACAAGATGCGCGTACCGAGAACGACGGGATCAAGGACAACCCGCAACTAATTCCCACGGAACCCAAAGCTGACAGACTGGTGAAGACTTGGCAGGCTGGAACCAGGCCCGTTCCAGAACAAAATGCACGTCCCAGGGACGACTGGTTCAAGAACCTATATCTAATACCCAAGGAGCCAAAGGCTGATAGACTGGCAAAAAGTCGGCAAGCAGACACCAAACTCGTTCCCGAACAAGACGCACATATCAAGAACGATTGGAACAAGAGAAAACAGCAACCAATACCAACGGAGCCGAAAGCTGACAGACTGGCGAAGAGTCGGCAAACAGAAATTGAACGAGATCTTCACAGAGATGCTGCAAGACGAGGATACATACTTCTACGTCCCATACAGAAGCATCCACGCCGGGAAAGTATAGGCGCACATCCTACCCCTACACACATTCGTTCCCGCTCACCCGAAGAAGAACAAGAATTTAATTCTTCTTTTCCCCCACTTCCTCCATCACCAGCAGCGACCGTACGTCCACCGCTGGGAAATCAACCACCAACATCTGTCACCCCATCTGCGACTCCATCTGCTAGACCTGCGCGAAGGGAAGCATGCTCGACGAATCCTACGGAGAGGACATTCCGCAAAGTAAGCGCGAACTCCTTGTCGACTCCATCGGCTTCATCGGACGGTGACGATGGCAATCTCTACGATCCCAACAAGACTGAAGAGGAGAAAGAGAAGATACGGCAGGAAATCAATGAGCATAATAGGGGCCTGCTGGTCCCGCCATGGTCCGGTCCAAACCTGGGTCCTGAGATGCAGGATATTGAGCGTGGTTAGATCGGTATCTTATACGCTGTTTCCAGTGAAGCTGGATGAAGCAATCTCATCACACCTATGTATACAAGATGATCACGTCTCTCGCGAATGTTTGAGCTCTTGCAATGTCAATAAGAAAGGTACTGTGCCGATAAGTGAAGGTCACCGAGACGTGCCTTCCTCAACCTTGGGGGTGACTGCCCCTTGAACAACTCCATGACAGCATTTTCCTCATTCAGCCCATGACGTCCGAAACTTACAATGGCAGCTCATCTGCACCTGCCGCCAATGACGACGACCATTCCAACCCACATGAAGTCACTTCCGTATTCCCACTCTCACCTCTTCTACATTACTGTTACCGCCGTGCATCACTCAGCGTACGACATTCTCGCAAACAGTTCCTTCGAATCCACACAGCATGACGGCTACCACTACAGAACAGACGAACACTACAACCATTAGCAAGCATGGAACGGCGAAGAAGTGGCTGCAACGGCATCTTCGCAAAGTGGCATCGCGACAGACGCTGAAGAACGACGAGGGACCAATTGAGATAAGGCGAAAACCATCAGTCAGGCGGCCGCGTACGGCACCTTCAACTGGAGCAACACCGAGCCTGCAAGATGCAACAGCAGTACCCCCGCTCCCGATACTTGTAGAGCGGGTGTCGCCTCGACCGCCAGTTCTACCTCCTCTTCGCCCAGCGAGACCTGATTCTGGCGTGATACGGGACGTCAATGCATGGCTCGATGCTAGCATGAATACGCCTTCACCCCCGCTCATGGGAGGCCTTTCGTATTGGAGAGCAGCGACAAATGTAGGTGCCAAAGACTCAGCCGTGGCTCAGCACGCTATCCCCGTGGTTGGAGCACCCGAAGTCGTCAGACCATCGACAGCCACCAGTCAACACGGAAAGTCGTTCCTTCGTTGCGCCAAAAAGATGCAGGTTCAGATGCCTTCGCTTTTACGAACCAAGTCTCAGCGCCAGGCATGTCGGAAGCAAATCAACAGACAGTCAGCATCGATGCCACTCTTAGCCATCTCCTACGAGGACGTTGCGGAAGCCCCTGGTACCATGCTCATGTCCCGATCTGGATCGCTTCGTCGCCCCGTCACAAGGCCATCGACACGACATCCTTCGACGCGCGCCAGTGCGCTTCTGTCCATCGACCAACAGTCGCAGCTACCCTCCCGGATGGGCACCCCAGCGAGTGCACGACTCGGCGATACAGAGAGCGTCTTTGAGTGCCGTCTCAACGCCATATTCATGCGCACGGCACGAAGCGCAGACAGCACCCGGCCATCGACAGCAGCGGCCGATCTCATCCGCGAAGACTCGATGGGCGATCTTTCCGATGCCCCAACATACTTCTCGGGACCTCCACCACCTTCTTACCGGTCGCGCCCTGAGTCTCTGCTCAGCACTTCTTCTTTCGGCTGCATCGATGGCATGAACCCTACACAACGACAGATCAGTCAGCAGCGAGCGGCATTACAACGGGGAATGAGGTGCAAGCTGAAGAGATTCGCTCAAGGACTTGCAACATGAGAAGCGACGACAAGGCAGACGCGAGGTGAGACACGAGACCACGATGATGACTGACGAAGGGATGACCGGAAGACATATACCATATACGAGCACATGACTATACGACTGTTTACCTTGGAGAGCTGGCATCTTCATACCCATAACAGGGGGGTTACTCTTTCAGTCGGTACACTGAGGGATGCGCAAGGCACGCGGTATTTAGCACAACTGCATCAGATATAAAGTAGGGTCTTAGTTTATAATAGATAATGCAGGTACAGCACAGGATGTGTCGTGAAGTGATCTTGGAATGCGCGGTAGTGGTAGTGAAGAGGTGAGAGCACGGTCATATGACGTGGGGACGGGCCGCGGTGAACCTAAAGCGGTTGGGGCGTTTTCACCGCCTACTCATTTGATGGCCGGGCATGGACTCCACCATCTCCATCAACATCATTGGGCCCAACGTGGCACGCTGTACCACGTCTAACGCTCCAACGCACACAATTGAATCTCCATGGCCGCCCGTTGATCCGCTCGGCTGCCAGCACAACGAAACCCAGCTGGCTGCTCCACTCGACTCCTACGATCCGCAGACTTGCATCATTACGTGCAGCTCCCACAGCCAAACGGCTCCCCGACCTCACCTCCCTCGACACGCCGCGCGCCCGCGTAGGCGAACGTAAGCATGGCCTCGGCAGACGATTCTAATTCGCGGCCCCAGAGGCCAGCTGCCATGACCAGACAGTCGTCGTCGCAGTCGCACATCTCGCAGTCGCCGTCCGAGGGCGCCCAGCGCTCCGCCCATCACAAGAGCCAGCGCCATCATGTCGTCGGCCAACGCGTGCAGCGGAACACGTCCTTTGGCAAGAACCTCAACAAGCTGAGCAAAGCCGAGAAGCAGGCCCAGCAGGCGCTCCAGGGCGCAGAAAACACCGGGCGACACCACCGCCGCTCACAGTCGGGCAACTCCATTTCGGCGCCCAGCAGCCCACACGCGCGTCCCGGAATGAAGCGCCATGCGTCTTCCGGCGCCGTTGTGAGAGCAAACACGCAGCAAGCGAATCTGCGCAAAAACCACTCGAGCGGCCATCTCCCGCCGCGGCAAGGGCATGCGAAACACGCGCTGAAGGGGTCCAAGAACGAGAACGCTACTTCTAAGCGTGCGCTCGCGACTCCCTCTCGGTCTCGGCAAAGTTCTCCGGAGCCACACGCCGCGGTCCACTTTGACATGCCCAATGACGACGAGGAAGGAGACGAGGGCGGGTGGACCGAAGAGAGTGCGTCACAGTCGCCCACTACTACCCGATCCAACACGCGCTCCAACTCGGTCATACTTGAGGCACAACACAGAGCGGCGGAGATCAACATGGAGAAGAATAGAGGAGAGCCGCAACAGTCGGCTGGTATAGTTCGAGAAGCGCCCAACCAGGCGACTCAGACGCTCACCGACCGCACGCGCACAAACACGCAGGTTAACGGCGGGAGCTCCTATCAACATTCTCGGCCTCCAGATGCTGATATGATCACATCGCGACTACTACAGCGCAGCGCCTCACACCATGTCGCTCCCCAGACATCGTCGGTCGCCGCAACTGTCGTATCCTCCTCCGATCGTCATAATCTGCTCAGTCATACAGCTGGGTCTGTTGGATCTACCTTGGTCGACACTCCGGGGAACAACCTCGTATCGCGCTTCATGGACGGAGACGGTTCCGCTGGGACACCTCACGATGGCGAGTACATGGCTGCGCATCAGCTCAAAGACGACACTGATGAAGGGGAGGTGGACAAGATCAAGCGCAACAAGTCAATGCCAAACTTCAAGGGCGGCGCGGACACACCCTCCAAGACGCCCCAGCGCTCTGGCACGACTACGCCAACCAACCTACCCCCATCGCGGACACAGCAGAAGCTCATGCTTCAACGTGCGTCGTCCAACATTGAACCGCAGAAGCTCGTTCCCGTAACCCTTCCCCGCACGGGTGGTCCCACATACCTTCAGTCCAGCATCCACTACAACGGCAATGGTGAGGGGCGCCTAGATCCACGCCTGCAGCAGCAGTTCAACCACGTCGCGGTTGAGTACAATGTCGTGCGAAGATACCGCAACCCAATTGCAGACGCGCTCGCAAGAATCTACCAAACCCCTGGCATGTCACGCAAAATCCGCGTACCCAAGTCGCACGGCGCAAACGGCTTCACGACAGGAGCCAGCAGCCTGAGCACGAGTTTCAACGAAAGCGGCGTCGAAACAGATGGGACGGGCTCGCGGAGATCACGAGTCAGTTTCGACCATGATGCAGGTCGCGGCAAGACTAGTCGCGACGAGAACGACTTTCAACAGAGTTTCGAGAGTGACCAGGCGCGCAGCCGAAACGAAGCCGAGGAGATCTGTCGCCGTTTATGGGAGAGTGCCGAAGTAGTCGAAGCCGACTGAAGACAATAGTGTGGTTTGTTTGGCGCACGGCGCTGATCAAACATTCACGACTCGCAGCGCGGCGCTCTGTTTGCATCTTTGCGACTATTGTGTGAGGGATTGCCAAGGCTGTTTTACTGTGCAGGTTCGTGCGTTCGCTTGCTTCCCTTTCTCTGCATTTTGCCGTAGTCTGCGCTGGGGGGTGAGGGAATGAGCGTCTTTGTTCTCCCATCGTGGACTGCACGCACGGGTTGCTATGGCGCAAGGGGGCTTTGTCTAGTCTGGCTGGAAACAGCATGGTGTTGGGGAAGAGGGCATTTGCGAATATTGTCGCGCCGGCAATGAAGCCGAAGAGACATGCATCAAGTCGTCGTGGTGGTGGTCGTTGCTGTTGCTGCATTTGCATTTTGCGCTCAAACTAACTTTGCGCGTGGCACAGAGTCGTGGTTCCCCGTCCTAAACCTTGCGACTGGCGGAGGCGTTGGCATGACACGACAAGACACACGACCGTTGGTTTCGATCGAGGAAACGAAAGCGAGTGCGATGGAAGATGATTTATTGTCAAATTTGCGTGCGCGCGCACCCTCGATTTCAATCTGCCGTCCGCGACCGAATTGCAAGCATGCGAGCCTCTCCAAGGTCGATTGCACAGGCGCGCAATTGCTTGGCTTGAATTGCGTTCATTTGAGAAGAGCGGAAGTTAGGAGCTGGATTTGCAATGGCTTCAATGCGATGGATGGGTCACGATGCGAAAGGCGGAAATGAGCAAGAAAGAAAGCCCATATTGTGTACTAGTAATGGTAGGGGTAGTGTGCGGGCTAGGTAGGGAGCCAATCATGCGGCATGCTCGCTTGTGTAATTGTAATTTCAATTCTAGCAGCGGATGATCGTTACTTGTTCCTGTGTGTCAGTGGGTTTTTTGATTTTCCTCACGATATGCGACTTCGCATTGATGGGGATGTGTTGGCGAGCGCATCTGGACGCTTCACATGCTACTGTGAAGATTACTTTGAGTCACAAGATGCATTGCGTGCATATGTTGAGCGACTACACGACAAACTCTTTGCAAGAAAA